TACGCTTGTAGACACAAAAAAAAAAAAAAAAAAAAAAAAAAAATTATATTTCGATCTCTGCATATAAAACTGGGTCCCATGAAGCAATTTGTTAAAGTTTTGCCATCTGAAGGAGACTGTTTCAAGTCTCTCTTTTCGGCATTCTCTAACCTGTCATTTGAAAAGAAAAAGGGTGGTGTGTTTGATGGTTCATAGATTCGGCAGCTCCTTAAAGAACATTTCATAGGAACAATGAGAGAACTTCAAAAGAATGCTTGGTTGGCATTCAAAAACATTGTCAGAGACTTTCTTCTAAATACACGGGCACAGAATTACAGCGAAATTGTCCAACTTCTGGACTCTTGGAGAGCTTGAAAATGCTTGGTTGCAACATGAGCATCAAATTGCACTTTTTACGTAGCCATCATGATAACTTCCCGAAAAATCTTAGTCGAGTTTGTGATGAGCAGAGCGAGGGATTCCATCAAGATTTGAAGGGTACGGAAGCACGGTACCAAAGTAGATTGGATGGCTGACTATTGTTGGAGCATCAAATGAGAATGTCCACAGTTTAAACACTTCAGAAAAAGCCAAAGTGGAAATTTTTACCTTAATACGTATGTTTACCGTTTGGTAAAACAACTATTTTTGTACTATTTGTACGTACAAAACAGTAGTTACCACATTAACTACTGTCCCACCACATTAACAGTAGTTAATGTAGTGGGACCAAACCTGCACGACTAATGGTGAATATCTGGTTTCCTGCCTACTTCTACCTGTATCTACCGCGTGCCGCCCAGACGAGGTAGTGGTTAATGCGAAATCCTTTCGAGAGATTGGTGGCAGGCGAAGACAGGGAACAGACCCTCGGGCAGCCCCCAGGATATTCTCTCTCAGAATCAGAAATTGAGAAGGAAGCTTAACACTAAGGTAGGTACAGCAAATACTTCAACCACCTATGGAACTACAGAGTTGCTGACTTAGCTTCTACCAGTACCTACCGTCCTAATCACTATACCGTTAGGACGTACCGGTGAGCCCAGGTTCGAGTCCCAGATAAAGCACAGATGTTTGTAAGCTTAGTTTTGTAAGCTTTATAGAGTCACTGCGGTAGGGAACACTCAAAATGCAATACAAAAAATAGGGGTATAAGCGGGGGGGGAACTCTTGGCGGGACCGGGATATTGTTCTCCCTCAAAATTGGGCCGGAAGATTAACAGTTAGTTAGTTTCAGCAATACTTCAATCGGTGTCAGGCGAATGTCAATCGATCGTGGACGAAAATGTCGCGGAGAAAATAAGGCAAGGCGAAAACATTGTGGGAGAAAAAAAGGCAGAAGAAAACACTGCAGTTTATAAAACATCATGGTATAAAATATCGTCGAAAACAAAGCGGTTAAAAAAAATTGCAGTTTTAAAATGTCGTAAATGATGTAGTAAAAAAAAAAGCAAATATAAACCATCGTATGATGATAACATCGCAGACAAGTGTTTTTCAGGCTTTAAATGTAAATGCTCGTTCTCATAAGCATTTTTGTGTGGAAGTAGAAATAAGGAGTATTTTAACATTTATATTTCATATTTTTGGATTAGTTAATAATAATGTTTGCTAAAAAAAAGAAGTAAACTTGAGCATTCAAAAGCTGAAAATAAGCAGAAACTTAATGCTACGTAAAGCAATTAATTGAATTTAAAATTTATGTACTTAACTATTAAAAGTTATAAAATTTATGTACTTAACTATTAAAAGTTATAAAATTTATGTATTTAACTATTAAAAGTGATAAAATTTATGTACGTAACTATTAAAAGTAATAAAATTTATGTACTTAACTATTAACAGTAATAAAATTTATGTAATTCTAACTATTAAAGTATTATTTAATTAATGACTTTTATAAAGTTATAGTGGCAGATTTTCTTGAACATGTTATTTAAAACAACTAGAAAACTGGTGTCCATAACTGAACACTGCTAGTCACTGTTTAGTTAAATGAAAAGCTTTCTGTGACATAAAAAATGCCAGGTAAGAAATTTGCAATTTGATCTATTTTTAGTACATTTTAATTTGTATATCTGGAGTCGATTTTACTAGTTTAAGAGTAATGCATAGTGCTGGAAATATATTAAAGATTTAATAAAAATTAATCTGAAGGTTCAGTTTCATTTGACTAATATTAATATTCGTACAGAGAAATATTGGTAAATAGAGTTTTTAAAATCGGAATAAATTATTTAATTATTTTAAAATAACTTCGACTAAAAGAAAAAATGTCGTTAAATTAAATGTCAGATCGTGACTGAATCTCAAAACAGTTAGACTGAAGTGGCTGCTGTAGAAGGCTAGAAGTAATATGCAAACAGAAAAAGAGAGATGGATTGGATTGGATTATTTAATTATGGCAAAGCACACGAGGGCTATCTGCCTAAAGGGAGGGATGCCTTCGTGGAGGACTTTCTAAGGAAAACTGGCTCGTATACACGTTACACATGGGGAAAACCACGAAAACGCCCATGCAGCCAGCCCGTTCGCGGGATTCGAACCTCGGACCGAACTACCAGTGTTCAGCGTCTTTACCGCTCGGCCGCTGGTGGGCGAAAAAGCGATGAGTAATGGGAAAGTGACAGTTCTATGTCAGAAGGTGGTGGGTATGTGGTGCAAGCCCGCAGACAAAACGCGCAAAGGGAATGGACAGAAAACTCGTATTCGGCGTAGTTGCAGTACACTGACAAGGGTAAAGGCCGAGATAAACTCCGAATTAATAAAAGGTTATCTTCTAGGGTCATTAAGTTATTCTGATGCTGGAGACGTGAAAAATGAGCAATGCCCTTGCCGGGACTCGAACCTGGACCTCTCGAATACTAGCCGATAGTGCTATCGTTACACCACGAGGGCATGCAAAAAGCAGGGAGAAAATACTTTATAAATTTTTCATTGATTTTCCTTGAAACTGACTTTCTAGTTTCTGTATAGTCTCTTAACTTAGCCTTATTCTTGTAATGTCACCCCTTCTGATTGCTTCTATTACTTTGATATATAAACAAAGGGGAATTTCTTCATTGCAGATAGTCTACATCTCAACTAATTAAAAATAAGATTAAAAACATAGTTTCTTGCAACTTAAAATTTTTATTCTCGACTCAACTGTGTGTTATTTTCTTAAAACACAAACTTTTAATATGTGGTCCAGAACAGAAAATTCGTAAATTAAGTCGTCTGGAGCGTCTTCTTACTAAAGTTTCAACTGTGGTACAGCTTTACTGTGATTTTTTACTAATGAGTGATACTGGCCATAGATTCCTGAGTAGTTGTAAGATGCGGAAATAGAACAGCAGACAATCAAAGTTAATTTGAATACAGGGATATAAACAGGGGCGTAGCTAGGGTGGGCCAAGGGGGGACATCTGTCCCCGGGCGCAGTATCCAGAGGGCGCCCGTTTGATGTTATGAGATTTTAGAATGAAATATTTCCCATTCTCGGCACATAAAAGGGGGCACAAAATCTTCAGCTGCCCCCGGGCGCTGAAAACCCTAGCTACGGCTCTGGATGTAAATGTTAATAAAATAATGGTAAAAAATTCGGTTCAAATAACCTTCTTTATTTTCAAAATTATTTGTGTCATCTCACAAAATAAAATTTCCTTTACTTGACGAAATTTAAATGCTAGTTGGAGTACAACCGTGGCTAAATGGATAAAGGCCGCTGAACTCTGCTAGTTCTTCGCGGTGGTTGCCTGGATTTTCAGGATTTTCTTTTTGTATAACTAGATACGAGCCCCCGTTTTCCTTAGAAAGTCTCCTCCTCCTATTCACATGCTTTGTCATAATTAACTAACTAAGCAATGAACCAAAATGCTAGTTTGTTAAATAAAATTGGGAAAGCTAAAATTATTTTTGTAGAATTAACTTTAAGGTATTTTGTTGAACTCTCTCAAGATCTGTTTTAAATATCACGCAGGTATGATTATTATATATTATGTTAATTGCTAAATATATTCATACCTTCTAACAATCGAAACTACTTCAATGCTATTGAATCTCATGCCTCTTATGCATGCGTAAAAATATATTTTTGAAAAAGGTATTTTTTTACTACTTACAGACTCATGTTACTCATTTAAGTTAGTGTCTGAGATTAACATCTCCTTACATAGTGCTAAATGCAAAGAGGTCGAAAATATGATGCAATATTTGCTAATGCAACCATCTTGCTATTCTTCCAAGTACTAACAATTGTTATTGCCACAATTAAGAGTAATAGTGATGATTATTAAATACTTTACCGCTCAGTGTGATCTCCGCGGATCATAAATTCTGCTGACAGATGCCTGTCTAAATTCTAAAAATGTTAACTGCCCAGTGTCTTCCCTAAATTCTAAAAAATTTGCAATTGATAAATTTTTCTGCTCAGTGCTTCCTAAAATTTGAAACATTTTGCCGACCGGCTGTGAAGACGGCCCTGGTTAAAAAATAACTCAAATAGAGAGCATTTATAAAAATTAAGCCAGATTAGGTTTTCCTATTCTGAGCACCAGTTATAGATAAGTTGTGTTAATGACCCTTTGCAAATGACTGGTTTTGGATTAAGTTATTATTTTCTCTTATAGAGGAGGGGGAAAAATCATCATATGCTTTTTAATGATGTATGACCTTTTATTACTTAAAACCAATCTAGTTTCTTTTCAATCGCAACAAAGAATTCAAAATTTTTGCATCGATTTGAAATATAACATAATTTATGTAAGGCTAACACCCGATTTTCATTTGTTATCGTGAGTATGTTAACCTGTTAGAAATTTCTTTGATTCAGGAGGTTGTTTGACTGAACCTCATGAAAGGTAAGTTATATTTTGAGGTATGAAATCGCTTCGAACGGATTGGATGAACAATACAGCAAATCGATCAGCAATAAAATAAAGAAAACAACGGCGTGGGACCGTATACGTCCCACATAGTCACGTGGGATGCATAAAACCAGAACGACCATCACGGAGGTCACAAGCGAGTCTCCAGAACGAGTTTTGGTAGCAACACGAGAGCAGAACGAGAGAGAGACTGAACCTGCTTCCAACTGGCTCAACCACGATCACAAGTAGATAAGTGAAGCAACGAGCCAAATCAGGACACTATAGCGGCAAGAGCTTAACGCAACACTCTCCTCTCTTGTCTCTATATTATTGTCTCTATATTGTCTGTGCCTTTTCCTAGGTAAGTAATTTTCTTATTTTGTAGTTTTATAGAAATCATAAATTTGGACTTTCGTTTAATAAATTCCTGTTTGAATTGAGATAAAAGTTTATTTTGGGACTCAGTTTCTTTTAAAATGAATGTTGAATGTTAAGCAGTTAGTTGAAAGTTTGACAGAATCGTTGGTTAACTAATATATAAAAATAAGCTGCGTAACAAATGATTTTTAAATTATCATAACACATGTGTAATTGAAATGTTCAATTTTGATTCAAAAAAATTTTTTTCCCCAAAAATTCAGTGAATTTTTTTTTTTTTAAATTTTGTCATGAGCTGCTCATTATATTGCAATAGCAACACTTGTTGACTTAATGGAGATCGAATTAGAAGCTGCCTTATTTAATTTGTGTTCCTTGAACGTACAGTTTTAAAAATGGAAACTCTTCGAAAATTCTGGGCAACTACTTGAGGCTCTATGCTTGCTGGTGCAAGTAAATTTTATTCGAAGTCAAACGAAAAAATATTTGTTATCTTAAAAAGCATGATTAGAGTTGCGATATTTTCTTATAAACAATACTGAAAAATTTTGTTTACAGTTTTTTTTAAATGGAAAATTTTTAACAAATTTTATAACAAAAGTAAAAAGAAAACCATTTGCTTTTAAATTTTAAATGTTTTCCCTGTTATAAATTTCTGATTGAAACTTCGCTATAATATCAATAAAATATCATCTGAAACCAAATTAAGTTTATAAATAAATCTTTCCTTTCTTACTCCAATTGAGCAACTCTAAAAATATATTCTTTTTGTTTAGATAGCTTTCGAATACTTCTCAAAGGCTAAAATTCTGTTTAAATCAGCTCCACAGCTATGTTCTAAAAAACAGTTAGCATGTTTTGGGTAACAATGATACTCCGAAAGTGCTGCTACACTATAATCAACTACCATACTACTAATTGCACTATAATTACGTAATAGCTGTAAAAACTCTCTTCCTTAAACTTTGCCCAACCCATGTGCAGGTATCATTTATATTTAAAAAAGGTTGCGAATAAAATCTTCTCCACTTCCTGCTTCTTTCCCGGCCGTTAATTTGAGGGGAGGGAATAAGTTACGAAAGGTCTACACGTAAACTTCATTCTTATTTTTAATTTCTAGTATATTTGTAAGCATGTTTTGTGCGAGAAAAAATTTGAAGTTAGACTAAATCGTTGTATTACTGGTATGTTGTATAATAAGTTGAAAGATTAGTTCAGTTAAATGGTAATTTTACAAATATTTGAAGTTTCATAGGTACACTTAAAATACCATTACCTTAGGATTGTCTTTTTTTTTTTTTTTTTAATACCAAATACTTCTTCTCGGACTTGAATTTTTTTTTAAATTAAATTTACTTTATGTGATATTCAGGAAATATATTTGACAAGAAGCTTCTTGTCTGGTTTTAAGTCATGAAACTTTAAAATCATACTTTCATAGCTGTTAAGGAAACCGTATAATCTAACGTATTTTTCCCATTTATTAAAACGTATTTTTTCCCGTATTTACTTAAAGTAATAAAAATCATGCTAATTATTAATAAAATGTGAAAAATTTATATATATTTAGGTATAAAAGCCTAATTATGTAGGTATCAACCTAATTCGTGCAATATTTTTCTTGAGTTCAGGATGTGTTAAAAATTTATTGCACTAAATAGCATGCAAGCTTTCAACGAGGTTTGAGATCACCTAGAATTTCATATTTTTGCAGGATAAAGAATTTCATTATTTACCTATTTATTTATTTTTGACAAGTATTTCAAAAATAAGAATAAGACAAATAAAAGTTTAAATTATTGGTAAGTGGTACTCAGATAAGCATTTTCTGGAGAAAAATTATTAATGTTCAATTTTGAATTTTCTATTGTAGGTAGAATAAACTTGTATTTTTTCAGCAACGATTTAATAAACGCGCCTGACATTTAAAAGTACCCCTGAGGTGTCGTTAAAATACTAACACATCTAATTTTAAGGCTCTGTGATTGATTTTACGCACATTTTTCCTCTTTTAATTAATTTGCTTTTCATTTACAGAAACTGTACTATTACATTTCAGAAAGTATTTACTATATATGTATTTTAAATTTATAATATTTATGTCTTTTAAATTTTTAATCGTTTATAAATCAACTTATACTTAATATGCTTCCATAGATTATATTTCTCCAATCAATTACATGCCAGATCTTATGGAAGAAACCTCTGAATAATCCTCTAAGAACAATGTCTGATGTAAATTTCATATGAAATAATCTATTTTAGTATAAAGCATGCATCACATTTTAAGCAATTGCTGAGGTTACAGTTTATAGAAATTACGTTTAATTATAATTTCAGCTTTTCGAGCTTCTCTTTCGGTTTTCTAAAATGTTATATTTTTTAATATTGTAATGAACCAAAGACAAAATTTGTTTAGTCAATAGTGACTTCGTAAACTGCTTTGAAAAGAACTAGATAAAATATGAAATATTACCGTATGATATCAATTTATATATTATTTTGTGTGATATCACACAAATAGTATCACACAAGTTTATGTGATAGCGTATAATTTAATATTATTTATGTATTATTTTAATCCTTATCATTCATTAATTTTGCTTTTAAACATCAAAAATGGTTTTATGAATTATGTATAATTATAGCGATGGTAGACTGTTGTGAAAGTAATAATTGATGTTTCATGTAATATTTGTGTTAGCATAGCTTGCACTTTTATTTAGCCTTCACTGCAAAACTTGTAGTATATTTTCGGTGCCGCTATTAGGAGTTTTAGGTATATGAAATAAAATTGCAGAAAAATAAGATTCAGAATAAAGCAATTACCAGTATAATATGAATTTTTTTCAAGAAAGTTGCACATTTCCAAAAGGGGGATTTATTTTAACTTGAAAAATGCCTTGTTCTTTCCAAATCTGGTATCAGATGTACATTTCAGTGCGTTGGAATTAGAACTTTTACATTATAAACAGAGCATGCATCAATAAATTTCAGTTTCAAAATGTTCATGTTCGAGGTATGAAATGAGCACCTATTATCCTAATAGTATCCTATAGTTGTACCTAGTAGTATCCTATAGTTGTACCTAGTAGTATCCTATAGTTGTATTCCTTTAGCACAAATCAACACCACTGTAAAAAAAGTGAACCTTTAACTCAAACCGACCTGATCCCATCCCAACAAAAATCACGCAGAAGCCTGATTTAACAGATTTAAACGTCAATAGTGTTGTTACAGGAAGTTGAAAGCCGCCTTTTAAGACAATTGTGTAGCACAAAGACAAATGACAATTGCGTTACACGGAGTCATCAGCTGATAGAACTGAGCGAAATCCACGAACATTCTCTAGCAAACTAGCATGAAGATTGAGCTTCAGGATAGGAATATGTAATAGCAAAAGGAACTCATGTCATTGATAATGTGGCGGATTCAATGTATCTATAAGCGTTTTATTCCAAAGAAAAATGCCAGATTTGATATTTTTAGGCGAAATTGATGCTTGTAACATCTATTAGTTCTTTGATAATAGTGTCAAGAGCTAACCTTTGTTTCATAAAAATTATTATAAATTTAAGCCATAGAAGCTTAATTAATAAGTCGAAATTAAAATACGCATTTAATCAATTGCTACAAATACCATTAATTTGTTTTACTGCATTTTTATTTACAATACATTTATTAAACATGTAAGAATTACGTGTTATTAAAGAAGATCAACTTTCTTTAATGCATGTCATATTTGGAAAGGTCTAAAGAATTCAAATTTTTCTCTTGAAATAATTAATAAACCTGAAATGTCCTTCAATCTGGTGATCTGTATGTATGTATATGTATTGTATATATAAATAAATAAATATGTATGTATGTATGCATATATGTGTGTGTGAAAGAAAACTAGGCCATCGTACAAAAATTTAAAGAAAAATGCGACTTTTAACGCGTGTTTTCATTAATTTTCGAAAGCGTCACACACTTAAAAGTCGTGCTGAAAATGGAGCAGTAGCACTGATTAATTGTTAAACAATTTAATTAATTGTTTCTAGCTTATTATTTCATGTTTTTCTTCCATATTAAATCTTTGCCATATAATTACATTGTATACTGTTAATAGCTTTGTCATATTTTTAATAATTCTGTAGTCATTGTATCCCATGGAAATACTTTTAATAGAATGAATCTGTAAATGATAATGTCATTCATACATCTACTGAAAATAAATTAAAGCACAATTAAATTAGATTTCTGCAGCGAATAGGAACATAAATCTCAATAATTTCTCACTTAAAAAAGAAAGAAAATTATCTTCTTTTTCTATCAATGAAAATCGTGCCATGGCTTGGAAATTTAAAACTAAAACTTAAATAAAAAATAATAATAATAACGAGTGAGAAGCTGTTTATGTACTTCAGGTGAGAGATACATGCAGTGGAGCAGCGAGCATAACTGGCGCCCGGGGCAAAATACCTTTTTGGCGCCCCCCCCAAAACCTTTACAGTAATATGATGTATAGAATATATAAGTAATAAGAAAATAATGCAAATAATAATAAAATGCTGAATCTGCCGTAAAATACTCTAAAATATATTAAGGATAGTCATTACCTAACTACACTAGCATTGAATTCGGAAATGTATCTGTGCCGGCGGAATAATCAGACATACGATGATCTAGAGTTAGTTAAAAAGGTATTATTTATTTTACATATTTATATAATTGTTTTTAAAAAAGTACAATTTTTAAACAATTAAAAAAATTTAATATATATTAGATAAGTACATTTATTTATTAATAATAATATAATATTATAATACATTAATACAATTACTATGTACACATTTTTCTTGCCTTGGATGAAGCAAATTTATCAATTACTTCATTTCAAGTCGATCATTTCAAATTTTTTTCTTTCCTAATTTAAATGCTAGATGACTTAGGGGATCTTGTCCCGTCGTTGATTGTAAATATGTCAAAATTTATTTT